CCGCTTGGCGTCATTGATGTTTCTTTTTGTTGTGAAATTTTACTGTGGACTAAAATTAGTCATTTTAGACGGTTCACTCAATGTTAATTATAATGAAAAAATGTTTGGTATTACACAATCACGGCTTACGGAAAAAATTCAAAACTTTATCGCAAGATAAAGGAAAAATTGGAAAGAAAAAACGCAAGGCCAAAGCAAAAACAAAGAAGAAAAATGAATACAAAAAAGCCATTGGAAAAAACACCGCTGCTGTTTCAGCTCATTTGTATGAGGTGAAGGACAGTCTCATGACCGGAGGCCGGAAAACAACGTGGTAAAGACTGCGCCCACGGCTTCGGGATACTCCAGCAGCGCATGCCGGTTCACTGGATGGAAAAGTAAAAATAAAATAAAAATAAAAATCTACAGGGATGCGATGGGAGGGCACGAAAAGAACGATCTCGATTGAACCAAAAACGAGAAACAACCGAAGCAAACACTTAGACTATCAGTTTGTGTGGAAATACAGAAAAAACACGAGAGCAAGAGATAGACAATAGCGCTGCAGCAAACCAAATGCGATCATATCCGCTTGCCCTTTCAGAGTTTATATATGAAACAAATAAATTACAATAATTGTTTCCCTCTACAAATTTTCACCCTCAAAATCCACATCACCCTTAACAGAAAACAATTCCCCTCTGACACCCTTGTTCCCCAGAGCCACGCCCGTGGGAAAGCCCGCTGCCCATCACGCGTGTCGTCGGGAAGTTCCTTTGCCGTTGGGGAGTGTCGAAGTGCGCGTCCGTTTTGTGTTTTTTGTGCGTTTATTTTCTTTTATTTCGCAACTCCCAATTCCCAAACCCCATGCTTTTCGTATTGTTTTGGTTTTCCCCCGTTCCTTTTTTTGTTATTGTTTGCTGGGGGTCTGATCTGCCGGGCCGCCACCCCGCACACCGCGCCCGACAATAAAGAGCGACACTGTGAAGGAGAACGGGATCCATTCCCCCCACTCTTTAAACAATTCATGTTGAAATCATCGTGGCATCACCCTTTTGAAATTCCGCTGAGGGAAAGGAACAACGGCCATCCGCCACATATCCCATTCATTAATTGCGCCCCAAAAAAGAGAGCGAGGAAGCCAAACAACATCCAACACCAAAAGAAGAATAAATAAAACCAGCAGGGGGGCCAAATCCCCAACAATTCCTCATCTTTTCTTCATAATTTCCATTGGAATTCCGAAGGATTCAAGGCGCAACGAAAGCATACCCAGTAAAAGTATACCTAATGTGATCTACCTTCTTCTTTGCCGGGCCTATAAAGCGCAAGAAAAAACAAAAGGAGAGAAACAGAAAATATTTTTATTAGTTTTCACCTTGTTTCAAGAGAGATCCCCCTTGGGGAGCGGCAAGTAGCAGAACAGTTTAAAACACTTTCCCGCCACGCAGAGTGGGAATATCTGTCGTATTTTGATAATTTCCCCTCCCATCAAAGCAATAAATTTACCATTTAGGCAGAGCAGTAAAACAAAAAAAAAAAGAAGCACCTAGTACTTTCCTGTTGTGTTTTTTTTGCTCCCCATCACATTTTAATCAAAAACTAGAAAAAGAGACTCAAACACCAATTCACAATTAACACTGTCGAAAAGGAAATGCTGAGAGCCCATTTTCACCCATCACCCCGCGCAGCAAAAAGAAGGACGTATTGAGCGGATTTTTCAAAACACCAAACCTGAAATGACAACACCCACAGATATACAAACTAAGAAAACATAATATGTTATTATTTTTTTTTTTAACCAAGCGTAAAATCAGACCATTCCTTTTCCCAATCTCCTTCACCCATCCACACTGAAAACAATTTAAAAACTCAACGAAATCAAAAATTAATATACGTTGTCATTTGTATTTTGTACCAAAAAAAGAAAACAGAAATTATAAATGGGCAATATACCGGACAGTTAGCCATTGTTTTGTGAGACCATACGGCATATTTGTTTTACCCCTAAACTCATACTACAAAAAAAACAAAAACACAACATGTTAAAGGAATACTTTATTTCACTAATATTTCTGAAATTAAAACATATTTCAGTTGAAATTGACTTCTTAATGCATTTCCTGCCTTCTTATTTGTATCAAGTCTTCGATTTTAGATAGTTTTTCTTCTTTACGCACCCCCTCCAAAGCCTCCACGAGGCGTACTGCCATTCCTAAAGACAAATTCACCTGATACTGATTTACCTTTTCATTCCAGAATTTGGCAGTAACCTCCTGTTGCTCGAGACTATAGTTTCCTGATTCATTCAAAGTGCATCCTTGCCATTTTTTTATTTGTCTCCTCTCATCAGTGTCGTAGGGTTGTATATAAATGATCTCCCACGATACTTTCTTGGAAACATTAGTCCAGTCAGAAAAACAATTTTTAAGATATCTATTGAATTCAATTACTGCAGTAACTGTAGTTTCATGTCTTTTGGCAGTTGTCGTTTGTATTCCAATCATTGTAACCCTTTCCTCTTCAGATTTCACAAAGTAGAAACCATCCACAAGAGGGAAATTAGATATAGAAGGACGGTAAAGCATATTGTACTCTATCCTCCTGCTGGCATCATTTATGCCGGTGGGAAAGATGTCATACCCATTACTAGCATATGGAACCGAATCCCTCCGTTGTAGAACACTCTTCTTGCTTACTCGTTCGTCAGGTGGTTGAATTATTTTCGGTTCTTTACTAAGCGCAGTTACAAAGTTCTTGGCCGTAAAAGCAATAACACCAAGTTTTTCAAAATGTTCGGCAATGATCATGCCCCTATCTGTGAAAAAGAATTTCAAGTATGGGGCACGACAAATCTCCATCACTCGAACAAGTATGCTTTTATTTAATTCATCATTAAATGCTGCAATCCTCGGAAGATCAACATTGCCAATGACCAAACGGTATACTTTCAGTAAATCTTGGGAAGGACTTTTATCATTCCATTCACCATCACCTCTGAGGATATTTTTGTACTCTGAAATAGTGCGCTCTGTAATGCAATTCAACGAACTTTTCACTTCATTATATTGTCGCAGATATGCATTTTTATTGAAAATATAACGTGGAAGTGGCCCAATATTATTAATACGTTCCTTTATTTCCTTCCAAAAGTTTTTAAGTTCTTTGGATTGGTTGCGTTTTTCCCATGCGCATATGGCCTTGATTTCACGCACAGATGGACAATTAATAACGATGCGCTTTGCCACTTTTTGTTTATCCCATCCTTTATAGTGGTTCTCATTTGGGGATGATATCACAATCATGCCCCACCCTGAAGGAGGCAGTGCATCCGGCGGCATTGGGCTTCTTTCATTTACATCATAGATTATGTATCCTATTTTTTCTTTATTTTCTTCACCTTGTTTAAAGAAATCCTGTACAACACTTATTGCCATTTCTTCTTCGTACCAAGTCACCTTTCCACCATCACTCTTCTTTTCAAACAGATAGGCCCCACCCCTAATGAAGTGCGCAACCACAGGGAGTTTTTTTGCATTGTAATGCAACAGTTGATAGAGGAGGAATGAACCAGCTGCAAAGGACTTGCCAATTCCAGGCGTTCCTATTAACACATATGGGGTGAGTTTCTTATTAGCATCCACATGATTGCCAAAATACTCATCCAGATCCCTTAGAATTTTATACCATACACGCATCACTTCCTTGTTAACATAAATATCACAGCTCTTCCTCATTCTGAACTCTGTGTATGACCATCCGTTCTTGGAGGTGAGCAGCATCAACTCCAGACGTCCATCCTCGGGTTTCTCATTATCATTATCGTCCTCTACAGAACCATTCATCACCTCATTCTCTGTCCACGCTTGCGGTGGATGGCCCTCTTTCACTTGCATACCGAATCCCCTACCATCAACACCCTCCACATAGTGCCATGTCGCATTATACACAGATTCATATACGCC